CCCCCAATTGCTAAGGCCACAGGGCCCAGGGACTCCCGCCTCCTCCCAAACCCCCACTCTGTAGCTTTGGAGGCCCCCTTCGCCCCCCAATGTGACTCAAAGGTGCTATGAGGGACACCCCAACAATGGGACTCCTTGGGAGTTCTGAGTCCCTATTTCAAAGTCAATTACCACCCCCAACCCCCCAGGAAGGTTGGGGGGGTGGGGTCCAGCTGTCCAGGCTTCAGACAATAGGCCTTTGTCTGGACTCTGGTGACCCAAGGGACAGCTGGGCTGCAGGAGAGAGGACAGCCCCGCTGACCCCGCCACCCAGAGTCCAGGAGGGCCTGGCTCCCACACCCATCCGATGCTGCGGGTGGTGGCTTTCCCAGGCAGGAGGCTGCCTGGCCCCAGAGGCTCATGGGAATTGTAGTCCTCCTCGGCTTCCCCAGGTGTTGCTGTGGCGGCAGGTGCTATCATCACTCCCACTCAACGGGAGTTCGGCTTCCCAGAGGACGCTCAGCCTCCCGAGGGGTCATGGAAATTGAGCTTTTGTTTTCCAGGGGCTGATGGGAGTTAGAGTTTTAACCTCCCAATGCCTCATGGGACTTGGAGTCTTTAGAATCCAGGTGGCTGGTGGTCCCAGAGCCCTAGGGGAGTTGGGAGTTTTTTCCCCACCCTCCCTGGGGCTGATGGGAGTTGTAGTCTTTTTCTTCGCAGAAGTTGACTTAGATTGGTGCACACTGCCATCCATCATTATTGCCAAGAATTAGTAAGAATTTGAGTTTCTTCATCCTAGAGTCTCCGGGATGGCTTCCCAGGGACTAATGAGTATGTGGCCGTGGAGGGGTCTTTATTTCCCAGAATCCTATCATAATTGGGGGGCTCTCCGCCCTCCAGGTTCTAACCCAGTTGCCTTATCTCCTGAAACAACTACAAATTGAAGTGTTAATACTCCTGATGTTGACATAGGCGTGTCTGCTGCCCTGGGCTGATGGAAATTGAATTTTGGTTTCCCAAAGGCTGATGGGAACTAGGGTCTCTTTCTCTCAGGGGCTGATGGGAATTGGAGTCTCTACCAAGGGTTGATGGGAATTGGAAGCCCTGCCTCCCAGGGACCCATAGAAATTGGAGTGTCCTCCTCCTCCTCCTCCTCCTCTTCCTCCTCCTCCTTCCAGGGACTCATGGGAATTGGGGTTCTCTGCCTGCAGGGGCCAATGGGATTGAGGGGACCAGGCTCTTTGGTTCTCCGCATGCCCCCTCCAGCCCTCCGCCCCCTCCGTGTCCCGCAGGTACCTGGTTCTGGAGCATGTCTCTGGAGGTGAGCTGTTTGACTACCTGGTAAAGAAGGGGAGACTGACCCCCAAGGAGGCCCGGAAGTTCTTCCGCCAGATCGTGTCAGCGCTGGACTTCTGCCACAGCTACTCCATCTGGTGAGGGGCACACCCACTCATCTGCTTGCGGTGTCTAGGGATGCACCTTCGGGACCTTTCATAGGAACAGAATCCTGCTGGCCCTGGCTGGGTGGCTCAGGGTCTCGGGTTCGATTTTGGTAAAGGGCAGGTACCTGGGTTGCAGGTTCGGGCCCTGCACCATGGTCCGGCGGGTTTGGGTGGGAGGCAACTAATTGATCTCTCTCTCACACTCTCTCTCCCCACTCCCTCCCTTTCGCTGTCTCTAAAAATCAATGGAAATTATATCCTCGGGTGAAGATTAACAACAAATAAAAGAAAAAGAAGCCCTAGCCAGTTTGGCTCAGTGGATGCCTGGACTCCTGGGTTTGTGGTTTTGGGGTTTCCTTGGGGTTTGCACGCTCCCAGCTACAGCCACAATGAGCAGCAGATCAAAGAAGGGAATTGGAAGGTCAGGGTTGGGAGAAAGTGGAGGGGATGCTTTGGGGAGGGAGGGAACATGAAATTATCTTCCCCGGGAGACATGGAGTCTCCAAAAGATTGACACTCAGAGGATTCAAGGAAGGGAGGGGTTGAGGCGGAGGGAGAGGGTTGAAGGAGGCAGATGCCGGAGACCAAACTATGGAGACACAGTGGAGAGATGAACTTACACAGGCCGGGAAGGGCAGAGAATCGGGGTGAGAGGAAGGGCGGCTGTGGGTGGATGGACCATCAGGAGGAACAGAATTCGGTGAGTGGGAGAGAGCTGTTTTGCGGGCTGGTGGCGGGCGGCCCAAGGAACTTCAGGTCGGGGTGATCCAGGCCAGGGGGAACCAGCCAGCC